GCCGAACACATCCCGGTGTGGCTTAGGAAAACAATGGGCGACAAGTTCAAAACTGTTATATCATCGAATGAGCAGAAAAGATTAAGATCTTCGATAACACAACTTATTCGAACAAAAACATTGTCACTCCAACTCACTCATTTCAGGTAATCTACAACACAACAAACACAAAGTTACTGAGATTTGCCGAGGCTCTAGCCATTCATACCTTCAAACCCGATCAGTTATATGTTGAGAGCCTATTGCTGTTCAGAGGTAATCACCAATATTGGCACAGAGTAACCGTCAATTTTTTATATTGTCTCCCAATGTTTTTTCGGTTAGTCAGTCAAACTTGTTAGCTGCACAGTGACTATTGGTAACTGTGGGCCACTTTTATTTTCCAAATCACATGTGTAGCTGGTAAAACAAAGTCATTTGGGTTTTTCCGGATCTTTCGTTAGCAAGAAATCAGGCACGAATCTGCTTGCACATCGTTACATGCGAAGCATCACTGTTTTCCTCAATCTTCTTCACAGAAGCTGTCGTTATCGTTTCCCGTCCAAGTCCACAGAAATTCGCTTTGCTTACCTGTGCACCAGAATGCCACAGAAAAACTTGTTGTGAGTGCTTCGCTTCTGACCATATCCACGTCGTCTCAGATCGTTTTTCTCCAATACAACAAATCCAAAGAAACCATCTCCGGAAATTTCTCCCGTTAAAGGTCCATCTGGATCAGCATCGAAGCGAAGAAGACTAACTGTGTTGGATAGTGATGAGTCGTCTAATGAGGCATGTCAGTCATCCAGTCACTCATCCAATTTTGGTATGTTCATTGATTGATTCCGTTCTATTTCATTGAAGATCACACAGTTAAGGTAAAATTGTACCACTCACTTAACTCCTTAGAACACGAAAAAGTCCCCCAGTCCTAAAAATGCCTTCAAAGCAGTTTCCTCTGACAAAGAGGTAATTGAGATTATCGTGTGTTGGTTATATACCCAGCAGAATATCCTCTCTCCGTCAACCAAACCCGAATCTACCACACCAACTACTCCACTGAGACCTAAAACAAGTCCCGAGAGGAAGAAGACCAGTACAGGTTCTTTTCACAATGACATCTCTTACCACCATTTGTTAACCCCCTTAGCTCCCCGGAAGTCTCAGAGTAATTCGCCTCCTGTCAAAACTGAATTGAACCAGGTGAAAAAGCCGGAAAATTCAGCACCGGCATTACTCGGTAAGTCTGATCCCATTATTTTTTATTATTTACTACCCAATTTGCGTCATTTGCAGCAAATCAACCTCTTGTGGATGTATCGAGGTACGTCTGTTCATTGACGTCATTATTCTGTCATTTTTCAGCTATGACCCCTCGAAAGATCACTATCAACCTATTGCAGACGCATGTTGGTCTCCTAATTCAAGGTATTCCTTTGTTTCATAATTGCCCATCAAATGTTTTCAGCGTTCCCTATCTGGCATTAGCCAAGACTTTTGATTTCATCGAAAAAATCACGGGCAGGTATGCTCCGATAAACCATGATGACTTCTGTATTATCAGATTGAAAATAATCGAAATATTATGCAACTTCTTCCGATCTGTTGGACTTCTCTCCCCGTCAGATCTATCCACATGTATTTATCTGTGCCTGAATCAGCTCGGACCTGCCTATGAAGGTAACGAATTGGGTGTTGGAGAAACCATTCTACTGAAGGCATTAGGCGCCACCACTGGTAAGACAGACCGTCTTTTTCGTTTTTGTTTTTTGCATTTGGATTATGGGTGCCATTGTCCATCCGTCAGCTGCTAACTTAACATTGGTTATTCAGTGAGGCACGGTTTGTGAAGATCACAGTTCACGGCGGGTTGGCGTTCAGTCAGGTGTTTCTGACGGCCGTTAAAACGCAGGTTATACATTCAGAATGTTCGACACAATATATCCGGTGATCTTCGCTAACCCGACCTCATTCACCCGCGTTGATTTGTTGAACACTTGTTGTTCAGGTCAAAATTACCAATCGACTAAGTTTTCACTGTATGGATAATAATGATGCGAACAACACGATCGTGACAGTCATGATAAAGCACAATGTCTATTACTAATCTTCTATGACTTGCTACATAATCATTATCATCGATATTCGCTACCGATTTTTGTTTCCCATCAGGTGTCGGTTTGGAACACTTAAAGGCAACCATGAAACGCCAAGGTGATCTTGGGAAAGTCGCGGAAGTAAGTTCACGTAGTTGGGAAATTATTGCCTTGATTATGCATCAAAGATAGCTAAACCGATTTAACGATTCATTTTCACACTGATAACGAGTTCTTGTTATCAACTGTATACACATTCCTGTATGCAAAGATAAAGAAACTAGTTATCGCTTGTTTACAAAATACCCGAAGGCAATCTTTATTTGATTTCTCTAACTGCACAAGAAATCAGAAGTTTTGACTTTGTATGTGCTTTTCCAAATAATAGTCACATGTGTATGGCAGATCGCAATTCGTTTGGATGCTTATTTGTTGCCATTTGGAACACACATTGCTCTTTGGAGACGCTATTGCACAAGCACATGAACAGTGTGTGTATGCGGGAATCGGGAAACATTCTGGGAAATGGATTTACTCTAATTCCAGGATGTGCTTCTAGTTTCTGGCACAAACGAGCTTTGCGTTCAAAACAGTGACGCGACAACTTTACTCCCCTTGTGTGACGGATCATAATCGCACACTTCGAATTGTTAAACACAAATAGCTGTGGTTCTCTGTTGTGAAGTCCTCGATTGGTGGGCGAAAATCTTCCGGCATCTTTCTTCAGTTGTACACGAGTAGTCAAGGTAAAATCTGGCTAGGGGGTATGAAAACCATAACTTGTGAAAGTTTCCAACTGAGTCATAACCCTGGAGGCTAGTGCTGAGATGGGCAGGGTCTGTGGCCTGCAACAATCTCGCAAAGATGGATTGTGCTACTATATCGTGCAAATGGGAAAATGACAAACGGTCTGATCAGCTGCCCGGTGGCTGAATGGGTAGTATGCTTGCGTTCTGCCTAGGAGGTCCCGGGTTGGTCCCCATTTGGGTCGATGGATTCTCATTGCTGATGAGACCCAACCAGGTCGAAACAGCTGTCCAGTGCTTCCTAGCTTTTCAGTTCACGCTTCATTTGCTATTTACACGACGAATTCCCATTTGAAATATATATATCGGTTCTTTTCTGCATGCAACTAGTTGCGATTATAAAATTCAGGTGCTGGGATTTATAAAACAAGTGTTTATTTGTAAATCAACGGAATCCGTTGTGCCAGCAGTTACTTTGTAGTGGTTATCCAGTCCGTTAGAAGTCATTGTAGAAAATTTTTCTGGTAAACCGTGTGTTGGTGTTTTCAAGCGCTGTATGCAGTTATTGTTCCGACCGAAAGCGTAAAAGGCCCAGTTCCCCCTTCCACACAGTACGATCATACCGCGAGCCAAAGTTCCTTCCCTTGTTGTCGTAATCATCATTACCACCCATTCCATTTTGACCTTAGCTTATCAGATTGAACTGGTACGAATTGAAAATGCAGCAGTGAGGTTTTACCTGTTCGACTAACGTTGTTTACACCAGATGGTTTATTTACTCTGGATGGTGAGATGACACCATGCTTTGATTTGGGAAAGGTTATCAGACTTTTTGGGCTCCGTTACCCACTGTGGTTTAACTCTCTCCCCACACATGATACCCCACTACAGGGTTTCAATATGAGGTTTAACTGCACAACCGCATTTCCGGTTACCCGTGGTCTGCACTACATCGGCAAGGTTAAGGCGTCTACTCAACTTTATGCATCGTTTTTCGGTTCCGTTGGGGCTCAACAGGAATTTTCTCTATCGCGCAGACCAGATTTTCTATCATCCGCCCCCCTCTGAAGAAGGTTTTCTTTCAGGGAATGGAACTGATGACCTCAGATTTGTGCGGATGTGCGGATTTTATGTCAGGTAACAAATGAGACCAGCACCGAAAATGATAATGCATCATCGCACAAACTAAAGGGTAAACAGGCGTTATACTTTGACCTTATTTCCTTTTGAAGAAAATGGTTTTACACTGCGAACCTATGTAGTGTGTTGCAAGGCCGTAATATCAAACTTTCGTGTTGAGAATGTTTAATGTCTTTATGTTTTTAATCGTACCACATCACCACTCACAAATAGTTGCGGGTGAAAGCGCAAAGTATTTTATATGTTCTGGTCTGTTGAAGTCTGTCAGGTTTTTCGCTGACTTTTCAGATCATCAGATCGCGTCAGAGAACCATGTTTACACCCAAGCCATTGACGGTTTCAGTGGTGTTCACAAAATTGAAAGAAATCGCTGCTATGTCCGGAAACGCAGTAAGCCATCAATTGGTGTTTTTCCTCATAAATTCTTATGCATTTCGGTCCCTCGTCAAAGGCGAAACTATTTATAACATTTCAGCGTCAGCGCAGAGCAGAGGATATTTGGAATAAAAGAAATAAGAAGCACTGTACAGCTGCTTTGAGCTTATAGCTTCTCTGTTGCAGTATTACAATTGTTCTCTGGGGCGTACATCCCACGATCCAAATTTCAACACTGAGTCGTGAGATAGATTGATCGAAAATTTTATTCCCCCGAATAAAATGAACAGCCTTCGTCTTGAATCGCCTGTTCTTTGTGATGCAACAATAAAGAAGGGAACACCCTCTTTTCTCCATTGTCCTTTCTCGTGTTAGTCATCGATGCTCCCGTCCGTTGTCCTTTTTCACTGATGGCACATGAACGGAATACTAATCGAACACGCACCCACTGTTCTCAATCTGTTTTATGCTAAAAGTCCGTCTTCCTGACGTAATGAGAGTCAACTCAAGTTGCATTCCTATTTATGTTCTCGACGAACGCCTCCCTCAGAGGTAGTCTCTCATGTGCTGTAGACGCGGTTTGCTTATTAGAAGCAGTGAACTGGAAGTGTCAGTAGTGGTCAGTTTGGAACTAGTCAAACATCATGTGATTTAGTCGTACAGTTGAATAAAATTGTATCTCTCGGCCAAATATATTTAAACAACAGTGAATCAATAAGTGCTGGTGGTTAGACGGGATAGGACCTCATCGCATCGGCCGCGAGGCTATGCGGACAAATTCCATCACTACCACCTACTCTCCTGTGCCAGTCTTTCGATTATCCGCTTCTCATGCTTTTTTTCTAAAAAAAATTGTTTGTGCCATTGTCAAACAGCTTCGTTTTCATTCGGCTCAGTATCAGATCTGTTCTGTTTGGGAGCTGTTACATACTTTGTCAGCCCAGATTCCAGTTCCTATAAATAAATCGGACGACAGTGGAAAGTGGCATCTCTGAGTCATCCTTCTAGACACTCCACTCTCTAAGGGCTCTGGGAAGCTGCTCCTCATCTAAAATGCAGCCCCACCTCGATAGCACCGGGTTCGGGGTAGCCAGTCGTCTACAAGAATTTTCGTGAATCAGTACTCTCTACGGTATTCCGCTACTCTTTGCACAAGCCTTGGGTGCACCTCTCAAACAAAAAGAGCAAACGATGCTAGGGAAACCATTTCGTACTCCACTCCCACAATGTTCCAATCACTGTCTTCATGTATCCGGGATGCCAACTGGTCTTGTGGAAGCGGATAGTTTTGCTCAAACGAATAGAACAATGGGTTTTTGCAGCTGCACTTTTTATTCCCCCCATATGTGTGTATGTTATGCGAAAACGCGACCGCATCTATATCAACTAAACTTCATACTATCTTTGGAAGTAGGGAAAAGGTGAACCGATTTAGACCATTGCTATCACCTGGGTGTATAGCAGTGCACTCGCTTTATCTACGGGCATTGTTTCCAACTAGCCTAAGATCCGGTATTCCTGACTGGACGGAACAGATCACAACGGTTTGTCATAGTTTCACGGATGAACTCACTTTGTGCTTAGGAACTGTGAAATGATGCGAAAAATCGGTAAGAAACGCATGTCAGGATACGGGACAACATCTCATTGTCCTCTGCTACCTAGATGGGTGATCAGTCAAGTTTCTGAGCACAAGTCTTTACGCACCTCTACGGTGAGTCTTGGTGCTTGAACGAACCGATCGTTCAAACATGAATGCACCACACCAGGGGCACGCATTCGCCCCCTTCCCCCAAGATCCATTCAACCATCTAGCCTCCCGTCATTTTCACTCCATTTCGTTGGTAGCTAGAAAACCTATCCTGTGGAGGCTGTAACATGATNCTATCCTGTGGAGGCTGTAACATGATTCATCACTCCAGGTGCCCCGAAATTGTTCAATCAGGATTTAGGAATATGACAGTAGCGGCCCATGGAAAATTACTGAATATATGTAAAAATAGGGTTCGAACACACGAACCATGACCCAGTAAGCGGACGATCTGTAGCACTGATCCACCGCTTCGGAGTGAAAAGTACTATCTACCTTCTATCTCCATTTACTTCACTTACTAGTCGTATTTCTTCTACTCGTCTTTTTCATATACCTATACAGTCACAGACGAAGAAAATTGATCGAATCAGTTCACTCCTCGTGGCGTGTCGCGAATGTGAGGCGAAATATCTGATTCGCAGTCTATCCGGCAAGTTGCGTATCGGATTAGCCGAGCAAACCGTACTGACCGCACTGGGCCAGGCAGCCTGTTACACTCCGTTCCATTCGGCTGCAGCAGTGAAAGAAGGTAGCAGTAGGAGCGGATTGTTGGACGCGTCTACT